ATTTGTCCTCGAAACCTGAAACATCAGACGTCGTGTCTTAGGGAATGCGAGTAATACCTTCAACAAACTGATTTTAATGTGCCAGTTAAGATGGCGCCGTCCCGTCTTGGGTACGTCAGCTGAACGCTTGTCCTATCGCGTCTTCAGTTGTTGTGGAGTTCTCCGAGCTGGGCAACTTGGTTGCAGACGTTTCGCCACCATTCGAGGTGGCATCTTCAGTGCAGGATTGATAGCAGGTAAGTAGCAGTAGCTGGTAGAAAGCAAACCCAATAATGAATCCATTATTGGGTTTGCTTGCTACCAGCTACTGCTACTTACCTGCTATCAATCCTGCACTGAAGATGCCACCTCGAATGGTGGCGAAACGTCTGCAACCAAGTTGCCCAGCTCGGAGAACTCCACAACAACTGAGCAAGCCTCCCGAGCTACCAATATTCCAAACAATTTCGAACCTATCGCGCCTTATTTGCTCGTGTAGGACTCGAGTGGAATAGACCCCGCAGTGGTCCATCATTCACCTGGTAACAGCATATGAAATCGTTGACCTCACACCTTGTCACCGTTGGATCCATAACTCCCCGCCTGGGTGGAGACTAAAGTAGGAAGAGTGCCGATGGCTGGAAAAAAATTCAGGATGCGGCTGGCAATCGAAACCAGTAGAGGATTTGTGCACATAATTGTTTAGATTTAGATGATTAATACTTAACGATTGCAGAAGACAAAAAAAATTAAAAATGATGTGTGTAAAATGATAAAGAAATACTCCGCATTTTTTCATTGAGGCAGAATAGCTGAAGTGTGTTGTTTACCTTCAGCAAATGTGTCATAACGATGACGACGTGGTTAAATCTGTCTTCTACCAGTGATTTCTATGATTTCGTTTAGTTCTGTCAATTCAAGACCAAACGAGTGTTGGGTTAAGGATTCGTTTCGAGTAAACTGTTATCGGACCCAAAGGTTTACATGGTAGAGGGTGTTGTTAGTGTCAAATCGGGCCGATAAGTTAGCTCTGAGTTGTTCGAACAGTCAATTGATAGCTCAAGGTTAGACTACAAATGGTAAGCAGAGCAAAAAATGTACGACATATAGGCTCAGATGGAAATCAAATGATTAGGTAACATTGTCCGTTGGCCAAAAAAGTAATGACAGACGTATGCGCGGCCTTTGCACACGCAATTGAGGGTTTAGGTGGCGCATGTAAATAGCCTCAGCAATGGATAGGAGCTGCTTGCAGAAGCATTGTGTGAAATGTTCAGATAGTGAGTATATGACCTTGCAGTCATCCGCAGAGAATGTGGCCAAAATCAAGGGTGTGACATAATAGAGCTGTTTGAATACCGCAGCTAACCTTCGCATAACCAGGCCGAAGTGCGCTCGCGAATCCTCTGGGATGGGCGCCTTACATTGAGACCCACATATCGTGCACCACGGAAGCACGAGTACTGATAAACGAGAACTGAACGGGTCAACGAGGGCAACGCATCCTTCAAGGGTTTTGTAAGCAACGGCTTGTTATAGTAAACAATTCGCAATCGGGCCACGAAATAAGTCTTCTCAACAGCGTCTTACAAGCGTCGCAACAGGGTATCAGCAACAGAATCGCCCTTAAATGGCAAATGCTTGGACAGCTATTTTTCAGAAGCAATTCTGTTAAGTAGCTTGCATTTGTGTTCCTTCAGATGCTGCGAGTGCAACTTGTCTGTACAGCCATTTTCTCTTAGGGCATCGTTAACGCGCTGCAAGCCATCGTTCACGGTATTGGGTATGTAAATACTGCGCGCCCTGAAGGCAAGGGATCGGACCAAACTTCTCTTGTACTGTAGCGGCACTGCAATGTGGAAGCTCGTGTGTTGCGCAGTCAATGTGTACTTTTTGTGCACCTTCCTGCTAATAGATCCATGGGACTTAAGTAGACCGTCTAAATCCAGAGTAGTCGGGTTCCAAACTCATGCTCGTATGTGAAGTGAGCATTCTCATGCATGTCAACAAAAGCTCGCAATAACTGCATCGCAAGCTCTTCTGATTTGCAGAGTTCGAAAGTGTCATCCACATAACGTACATACATTACAGACTCATCGATGCACGTAGCAAATGGACCACTTTTCAATTTTGCCATAAAGATATCGGCCAGCAGGGGACCCAAGGGAGATCACATGGCCACTCTATGAATCTGACGGTGAATTTCACTACTGAAGCTGAACTGAACTTTTAGCGTACACCAAAGTAATACTACTTTAAGTAGTTTCCGGAAAACTTGCGTAAATAGGCAGTTGTCAAGCCAGTTCGCACACGTACTAACACAGCTTCAAACAGCGGAATATTTGTAAACAGCGGTTGGGCATCAATGACAACATCCTTTCGTTAGCAAGGTTAAGTTTGGTAATCCTCTCAATGAATTCAAAGGAATCTTACATAGTAAGTACAGACCATGTTCCGCTGTAGCTTCTCCACCATGCAATTGGCCAACAAATGCTGGGGAAATCCCATCATATCCTAGATTTGACGCATTAGGGCGCCTTCACTGTGTACTTTAGGAAGGCCATATAACCTTGGAAGTTGACCACCTGAAGGCTGCAGTGTTTCGAATTCCTGGTGCGTGATAAGGTTTGCCCGCATCATTCGACTAAGACAGCCAGCTAGCTATTTCTCTAACATCTGTGCCATTTTTCCTTGTTATGGGTTTTTGGAACTTGCGCTCATCGCTAAGGATGTGCTACACTTCCCAGATAAAATCAGTCCGATTCATTAATACAATGCCAGTACCCATAGGTGGCTTACAAATTATTAATGCCTTGTTAGACAGTGGCTCCTTAGGTGACTGCATTGTTCTCTTGTTAAAATACCATTAGTGGATGGTTTGGCCCTAACATATTCGTGGCAACTATTCACTGGACTAGACTTTAGGTTCTCAATGTCATTCCACAACGTTGGACACAGATGTCGAGTTTGTGCCAAGAGACTTTCAAACTGCATCTCTAAAGCGGCCTGTCAAATCAATAGACTGTTGTCTATACTATTCGATTTTTATGTCGGTCAATGGACCTTTCACTGTGGCGCCTTTGTTGATAACTGGCAAGAGAATTAGTGCTTTCGGTGACATGGATCGCAGCTTCTCTAAAACCAATAAAGCCAATCCGACTAACTGAATCAAGTTAAGGAAGCTGGCACATCAAAACACGCTCATAGCGCCCAACATTCTCCATAGTGTTTCAGTCGAAGAAGCACTGAAAGGTCTTGCTGTACATTCGAATTAGCCACTTGGCTAAGATAATGAAGTGGATCTGGACCATCCCGCACTCATCATCATCAGTACACGTTAGCTGAAGGTGGAAAACACCTCAGCTATTGTGCCGCAATACAAAAGAAAAGGAAAACAGTGGCACGCTCGCTGAGTCCCCAGTAACGGATGGACATCGTTCCGGAGAGCTAACAGCTGGCTGCCGTAAAAGAGAATCGTATTATGCCTAACAGGTGAGATCGTGATTGGAGGAGGATAATAAACAGGAGGGGGATGGACAAAAGAAATCACAACACAAACGCCATTGGTGCCGGCTCCGGGCCATGTCAGCAAGTGTGTCCAACCAAACGTGGTCACCGTCCTTAGGATCCCAGCCAGGCAGTCGGGATGCACCAACCGACGCCAACTTCGAAGTGAGGGTTTCCATTTCTCTCGACCAAGTCATCACTTGGCCTCCCCTCCTCCTCTTCCAACCGCACCCACAACGCGCAAACAATGCACGTCGCGGGAGTCGGTGTGCTGGCATGCGCAACACGTGGCCCAGCCATCGGAGCCTGGCGCGTGATATAATGGTGCTGAGCGGTTCACTCGCTCTTCCTGCACCAAATACGCGACGTCGAACACACTCATTGCTCACGCGGTGTTCCCACCAGACATGAGCTAAGCTGCGAAGGCAGCGATGATCGAATGTGACGAGACTCTTCATGTCTGTCAACCTGATGGGCCAGGTTTCACAACCATATAGGAGAGTTGAACGGACGGCTGCGTTGTAAACTCTGCCCTTTAGGGCGAGAGTAATGTCGCGTCTGCGCCACAGGTGGCGGAGATTGGCAAAAGCACCTCGAGCTTTTGCTATGTGGTTCGTAACCTCATCCCGCACTACACAGTAGTTGATATGGAAAATGGAACACCCTACGAAACATCATGTCCCTGACTAGTGAGTACTATAACACGTGAAACGCAATGGACGAATGTATATTTCTCGACTGTGCGAGTTACAGTTTAATTATTTGGACTGACCATGTAGAGCAACGTGGTCTCAAAGTGCAGACGTAACTACAAATACTCCAGAACAGTACCAAATCAGGTTTTTGGGGAGTTTAATTGGTAGAAATGGTACAAAAGAGAGTTTGAAAACAGGATGAAAGTGATTACTGATGAAAGCACAATAGTGTCGCATAACTCGGTCCTTCAGGGACAAACGGTTTATTCGGCAAAAGGAGCTCAGCAAAATGACAGCATGAAAACAAGTAGGAACCTCGATGTAAATAACTAAGTCATTGCCAAAACTAACGACACTGACGTATTCATGAGATTTTTCTTTAAATTAATTAAACAAACCCGCTTAAGCGAATTAATCAGCGCGTAGACGAAATATACGTAGCTATCCAATGAACTGCTCAGTTCGCTTGCGGCGGGACAGCCGCTTACTTCGTAATGTAGATCGTCTAGTTCTTCAGTTTGCACAATTCCATCACAAATAGAATTAATACGGTTATCCATGGAACCGACACCTGTGAACCTGCTTCCATGAGGGGTATTTCCACGAAAGGTTTCATTAGCAGATCTACGTCCTAGTTGGCTTCGTGTCGGTGTGACATAACAGCAATCGAACCAACATCCTAACTCATTTGTATGGCCGCTGGTATATATATTGAGTGACAGGCCCTATTTGTTCTACCCAAAATACGGAATCCGATCGACCACAGTAAAACGACAAGAGAACAATAAAATAAAATCATTATATCAGTCACACACTCACCAAGATGAACAAATCTGACGTGTTTGCGTAAAGTGCTTTTCTCAGTAAACGATTTGTCGCAAAGGTCACATGCATGGGGGCGCTCATCTGGATAATGAAGAAGGTTTCTAACTAAAGATGAACCAAACAGGGTAAACATACGCAGTATAGTCAATTACCTGTTAGAATTGATGCATACCAGATATGTTTCATCAATGCCCTGATGGTAGATATGCGAAAAAAGCAAATTAACTGTGAAAATCGCGTAACCAGTAGCACAGACCCAGGAGATAGACTGCGTGGCGTCCACATGTAACAACAGCAACACATGCGGTGTTGAACATGCAGGTACATCCTTGTCAACCAGGCGGACAAAAATATCGCCGGAAAGAGGCAAGCATTCAGCTGAAGTCGTAGACCGACAACGACACCTAGTGCGAACCGACCTGTTCAATAGCGTCCGGCGGGCTGCTTTGTAACCTCTTGGGTACGGGCGTACAGTCTAGCAGTCTAAGATTGGATATGAGAGTTTGACAACTACTTCCTGGTCAAGTACCGCAGCAAGTGGACAAATTCGGCAGATTATAATACCAAATCCGGTTGGTGAGATAACGGAAAACGCCTCAAAGTGTCCTCAATCACGTTTGCCTTTTCAGTATTGTAAGAAATTATGCAACTGTAAGCCGAGACGAGTAAGACCCATCGTTATATACAGACATAGGAGATCTGGTTGATGCTTTTGAATTCACCAATCAAGTTTGGCTAGGTTTCTTAAAAACAAAATTTGAAACTTGTTCCCCTGAGATACCGGTGAGATTTCTCCGTACGCTAGTGATGGTTTTCTCGGCCCGGTCAAACACCCGGAACGGCTTTTCCAGCAGAGAACACATTGGCGACCAGAGAGATAATCCCCATCTTTTGCGCACATTTTCATTAGAGTCGGGTAATGATAAATTAATTCCTGTTCTATTAATCCCCCCTGAACGCACACATTTGGTTTTTTCCGCTCGATTTTATATGCTCGGTGGATCGGTATATTAAAGTCTACTCCTGCCCACTGCATCGATAGATATCCTATTGTTGAACTTATGAACATAGTCCACCAAGTTCCACAATACAAGTGGGAGCTAAAGTCTGATCAGACTTTAGGAACACGGGTATGCCTAGCTATGAGCACGAAATGGGCAGACAGAATATCGCACCGTGGAGCTATACTCCCCTGACTGCAGTTCTTTTGTCATATTGCCTTCATCTATATGCAGTGGGACTCCATAAATGGAGCAATTAGTCAAGAAAGAAAGTGCATGTATATGTGTGTAAACTGTTAACTGATACCTTGGTCTCGAACATGAAGTGACTTTGCTTCCTCAAGTGTGGAGTTGTAAGGTTGGTCCGAGGAACTCACAGGAGTGTATTGCTCAGCTTTACATGACCGATCTGAAGAACACTGAGCCTTGGAATCCAGTTGGTCATTCCTTTGATGACCCAGGAAGGCACCAGTCATTTCCCTGTTTGGAGATGCAGAGGCCGAGTGTGTAACTGTGGGCTCGGGCTTTGGTCTCAGAATACAGAGACTCAAAGGTCGCCCCATTTGCGAGCTCGGCACAGCGTCATCCTGCAAAAAAAACACAGAGCACAACAGCATCATTATACACGTTAGCTAGAAGTGGGAAACACCTCAGCTAGTGTGCCGCAATACATAGAATAAAAATAAAATGAAACACGTGCAAGCCTGCTGAGCTACCGGTAACGGATGAGCATTGTTCCGGTAAGCTACCTGCCGGTTACAACTATGCAACAACAACAAAATAATTTACCATGCAAAATTATAGAAGCCTAAAGAGTGAGATAGTGGTTGAAGCGGGGGGCTAAGAGGGACGGAATAGGACAAAGAAACGCAGAGCACGAACGCCAGAGGTCGGCTCCTAACCATATCAGCAAGTGTGTCCAACCAAACGTGTTCATCGTCTTTTGGACCACAACCACGGAGCCGTGACGCTCCAAACGAGGCCAGCTCGGAAGTGAGGGACTTCATTACTCTCGACCAAGTCATCGCTTGGCCACCCCTCCTCTTCTTCCATCCACACCTCCGGCGCGCAAACAACGCACGTCGCGGGAGTCGGTGGGCTGGCATGCGTAACACGTGGCCGAGTACTCGGAGCCTGGTGCGTGAAATGACGGTGCTGAGCGGTTCATTTCCTTTTCCTGTGCCGTAAACAAGGCGTCGAACACACTCGTTGCTCACGCGGTGTTCCCAGCAGTGTGAGCTAAATTACGAAGGCATCGGTGGTCGAACGTAACTAGCCTCTTCAGGTCCGCTGATCTAAGGGACCAGGTTTCACAACCGTACAGTAGGGTCGAACGTACCGCTGCATTGTACACTCTACTCTTCAGGGCAAGAGTGATGTCGCGCCGACGCCATAAGTGGCGAAGGTTAGCAAAAGCGTCTCGAGCTTTTGCTACAAGGTTCGTGATCTCATCTTCAATCCCACGGTCGCCGATACAACTTCCCAGGTAGTTGAATTATTGAACTTCTAGCTGATCCCCACCAAGAGTCAGCGAAGGAGGCGGTCCAGACCAATCTTGGAGGAATGCTTTGCACTTCGAGGGTGCGAAGCAAAGCCCGAAGTGACGGACAGCCATTGCTAATCTGTCCAGTGCCACTTGGCACCTTAGTGAGCTGTCACAGATTAGAGCAACATCTTCAGCATACTCTAAGTCAAGAATTCGTTCTCCTGGGAGCAGATTCACACCTTCTAAGTGATGTCCTGTGAACGGGATTTCCATGACTTCGTCAATAGCGAAGTTGAAGAGGAAAGGTGACAGCGGGAATCCTTGTCTCACACCGCTGGAGATATTAAAGGGCAACGACAGCCTGCCGCAATCGCACACTCAGTCTGAGCTACGCGAGTATAATGATCGGATAATACTTACGTATTTCGCAGGTACACCTTTCCTGAGTAGACAGTCCCAAAGTGCACACCTATCCCCCGAATCGAATGCACCTTTGATGCCGAGGAACACGACAAGGGTGGGCCGCCAATATATGTGACGGTGCTCCAACAACTGAAGTAAAGTGAAGATATGGTCAAGGCAGCCACGACCTCGACGAAATCCGCCTTCCCCTTCACGAAAATGACTTTCGAGTGCCAGTCAGTCTATGAAGGATGACAGAAGCAAGCAATTTGAAGGCGATGGAGATCAGACTGATTAATCTATGGTTGCCGCATTCCGATCCTGAGTCTCCCTAGAAAATTGGGACTATGACGGAGCGTCTCCAATCGGTTGGGACAGTTTCCTGCTCTCACAGTTCCACTACTAACTCGTATACATAATCTATGAGAGCAGGTCACCCGAATTTGAAGGGGCCTGGAGGAAGATCATCTAGTCCCGCGGCTTTGTTCAACTTCAGCAGTGCAATTTCACGTTCGACTGCAGGCCGAGAGTGTGGATCCAAAGGACAGCCCACGGAGCGGGGCGATCAGTGGTCGACAATTAACCTAATAATTCCGACCGAATAAATTGCCTTTAAAAGTGCTCATTCCAGCGTTCCAAGCGTTTTGACAAGTTGTGGATAGGCTGTCCACTTTCGTCACTAACATCAGGTCTCCTGATGCCCGTTTCTCGTATCAGCCGGAATAATTTACGATGGTTACTAAGGGCAGCGGCCATTACCTTCTCCGATGTACGATGAGACCACCAGGATTCGCGGTCTCTCCTAGGGCAAGCACAGAGTTTTTGCTCGGAGCTCTTTGCGAGTTTCATTGTGTTCGCTTCCAGCCGGAATATGCCGGAGAGCATCGATAAGTTCCAGAGACTGCGAAGAGAACCAATGTCCATGTTGGCGATTAGACTTACCACATGAGGATATATCTGTTGTTAATAACGTCTGGTGAATATGAGATCAATGAGCTTTAATCGCATCCAATGAGCGCTTACTCAACTCGCATAACAGCGTGCTTTGATAGGCATTCAGGACAGCCGGTTTCGCCAGTTGGCTGGTAGCAATGCACTAACAACGTCATCTTGAAAATCCGCCAAAACGCATTCGCAGGTCATCACATACAAGTGCATAATCCGTGTCCACACTTGTGCTCCAAATCGAGCGACAGTTCTGGACGCAACCTCTCCATCGGTAACTTATCCCAATGTGATCAATTTGCGTCCATAGTTGGTTGGAGGTTGCTGGGCGCCAAGTTACCCTCCGTCAGGTGCTGTGTCGGAAATTAGTGCTCGCAAGAAATAAGCGAGCATTTCACACAAATGAAGTAACCGCTCACGGTTAGCTTTACTGAAGCCTACACCATGTTGGCCGCCCAGACACAGTTCATCAGTGGATAAGTTTCCAACTTCAGCGTTCAGATTCCCAGCCAGCACTACAGTGTCCGAGCTTCTTCTGTGGCGAACGAGCTCATTCAATTAGCGATAGAAGTCGCCTTTTACCGAATGACCGCTACAGTTTGTGGGTGCAAAGACAGCGATGACGAATAGACACCTGTTAGTGCCAACCGACTTCGAAGCTTTGAACGAGCCAGACAATCGGACCGCACGCATTCGGCTATTGATTGGAATCCAGTCAACCAGAGAAGCATCAGCCCGGGGACTCAGGGCAATACCAACACCAGCTTGGCCGGTGCTTGAAACTGCATCGTCACCAGATAGAGGTGATGAGAAAGTGCATTGAGCTCGAGTCATGCAGGCGGGTCTCCGATAAGCAGCAAATATCGATCGAGAGGGTCTCCAATGTTCGGGCAAGTGCTGCCTGTTGACCGATCTGTAGCAAGGTGCGTACATTGAGGCATGCCAATCTGAGACATGACCGAGGGCTCCAAATGGAAGCCGCTTGCTTGGACACGGGCTCATCGATAGGGCAGGAATGACGCTTCGCGTTCATATGTGAGTTGAAACTAAAAGCCTATCAAAGCAAGGTGGGGGAGGGCAAAGAATTGGGAGGTTGAAAAAAAGGGGGGGGGTAAAAGTGAAACTGGAACGGGACGGTAAGAGAGAAAAAGCCTAAGAAGATGGGAAGGCTTGAGCAGTAGCATCTTAACCCCTATCTACGCTGCTCGATGCAGCAGATCCGGCACCGTTGATTATCCTCTGCGACGGCCAGAGCATCAAAAAACGGTTTGAAGAGAAATCCATTGTATGGCGTGGGCAGGATGCTGTCAGGTTGCCCAGGCCTATACAGGAGAACGATTAGGGTTCTCGACCAAAGCCTTTGGTTCAATAAGCTGACCGCAAGGCAGCGGGTTTGGCGTTGGGCTACAAGGAGTCCCTTTTAAAGAATAAGGAACCACCTAATTCGAACCCCCAAACTAGAGGCTGAGTTTGTCTGGCCTCTAACTATTGACCAATCTGGTATGAGTGGCTCTGAAGGTGCAAATAAACCACCACCCAGCATAGCTCAATGGAACTTTGAAGCACACAAAGCACCGCACCACGGTAAGGTCCAGCTTCATCAGCACATCAGCAACCAAATATTCTAAATCAGCTCAAGTTGTCATCTGACGCATGTGACCACAGGATGACACACAACTAGAAAAAAAGTGGTAATCACTCAAGTATAAATGCAAGTAGTTCCACACAAGAGCAGGGAGTATCCGCTTTATTTCACAAAATAAAAATCAGGCCGAAGCTGACAAAATTCACTGAAATACATTAGTAGACGCCATTCAAACGCTTGATCGAAGGGATGTTGCTTTGGTTAAGACGAAACATACTGCCACATCAACAACCGCAACAAAAACGTACGTCGCGCATAAGTGATCGACCTTGATCATGTCCATTCTATCGATCGAGTCCGATGACAGCCACAAAATGTTGGATAGGAGATGGCATAATAAGTTGACTTATTTAGAGCACCCGTGGCTCAGAGGTACCTAATAACCTGCCAAGCCTACTTGACGGATGCCGTGAAGGTGTCATTAGAAACGATAATACGCGGTGCAATATCCCAGGTTGCAAATTATCTAGCACACCTAACATCCCAAATGGCTCAGTGGCTTAAGTTGCTGGCTAGTTGGAATCCGCTTCTACCGGTCATGGGTTTGATCCTTGGTAGGGTATCGATGGAATGCGCACTGCCGACGAGCCACAATAGGGCGAAACGAGTCTCGTGCTTGTCCGGACTAGGCTGTACTATGTAGCTTGTGAACTACTGGGAAGAATACCTCCACAAAATTACAACTGAAATGCTGCTACTCACAAGTAACATAAAAACGATAAAAGCAGATCAGTAATCTCAACTACTGATTGCTGTCGTACAATCAGCGCAATCAAAAAAGGTGAATAAGCTAATGACGTAAGGAAATAGGGATGAGGGACGCAGATAACTAAGCACACAGGAACAAAGTATTTGCACTCTGTCAACACCGTTCGGTCACAAAGAGGTGGCCACTGTATGAAGAAACGGCGGTAGCAAAGACGCTTTCTAGCGACCCTGGGTGCATAGCGTAACGAGTAAACCAGTTCCACACCCACATCCGTAAGCAGAAGCAGACGATACCTTCAGGTGATAAGCACAGTTCTGTTGGGAGTAAATAAGGCCACATCAGGGGAGGACAAAGAAATGTTAATTCAAGTCTGGATACCTCAAACAAAAATACGCTATCA